GGCGACAAGCAGCTGCAGCTCCCGCTTTGTTTCCGACCCAAGGAGGTCAGCACGTGAAACCAGAAAAGGAGCGTAGAACAACAAATAATACATTACATACATTACATACATCACATACATAACATAACATAACATTACATACATAGATCAGATACATAGATACATAGATACATAGATACATAGATAGATAGATACATACATACATACATACATTTCCATACACATTACATTACATTACATTGCATACATGCCATGCCATGCCTTGCCATGCCATGCCATACGATGCCACACCATACCATACCATACCATTACATTACATTACATGCATACATACAACATAACATAACATAACATAACATAAGATTACATTGCACTACACTACATTGCATTACATTACATTACATCACATACATACATACATACATATATATATATATATCCCACAGGGTCATTGGACTGTCATAGCTAGGGTTTTGACCCTCACAGCAAGGGTTTGGGACCTCAAACATGTAGCAGTTTGAGGGTCCACGAGCCTCTGGGATATACATATGAGATCATACGAGCCATACCTGGAGTGTCTGGCTTGTGACCCGTCGTCTGCCCGCGGCCTCGCTTGGCCGGAAGAACTTCCATCGTCTGCATCCGCCCCGATCGCGCCAGCGGTAGCAGCGCGCCAGCAAGCGCGTGGCGTTGTGAGCGGTGCCTCGTGAGGCCGCCGCGTAGCTTTCAATCCTTCCCGCCGTTCTGCTTGAATTGAAGATCCCAACATCTCAGCTCAATCTTCTGTGTATTGATGTGCACCAGGGCCCCCTGTTTGGGTGGTTAATGGACACCCCTTGACCTCTAAGGAGCTATTATTAGACACCCCTTGGGGTTAGGAGTAAGCAGCATTCTACAAGGGGTGCCTATGATACGAACGCATGCTCCCACGATCCAAAGCTGCCACGACTCTGACAATAGAATCCGAACAACATTGAACAAAATATGTCTCTACATCGACAGGGCACCTACATTGAAATGGTCGAGTCAATGTCATCTTGGTCCTCTTGCTCAGGCTGCCTGGCTTGCACTGAGAGGGGCTTACCCTACTCCATGCCCCCAAGTCAGGCTTTTCGCGACTGAAATAAAAAAATGACCGAAAACCTGTTACAAAAAAGGGGGTTTCACATCCTTCAACCCTCTTTTCCCTCTCAGAACCCCCCCCGTTTCCCGCAGCCAAACCGGCCGCTATTCGGCTCCAAGGCACGGAGTCGACGGACTGGAGGGGTGAAGAGGAGAAAGGTGCCGGTGCCCACGATCCAAAGACCCAAACGCAGCAGATACAACCTCGGTTATGATCCAAAGGTGGTTGATGATCCATACTGATGATGTCCTTGGACTCTTTTTGGACAGATGATCCAAAGGGTGGCAGGACCTGTGGCTTGGCGCGGCTTGCATGTTGTATGTGTGTACAGAATGCTTGGGCCCTCCATGGCAATCGTCGGGCCCTCCGTGTTGGAGGTCTGGACCCTCAAGACCCTTTCCATTCGAGGGCCAGGATGCTTAGAGTATCTATCTTATGAATATCTGCCTGCATTTGTGCGAATCTTGGTGTTGGTATGCCCGAAGGCCGGTTTCGTTTATGAAAGTTGTTCACGAAGGAGCAATAGGTGCAAGTGGCCCAGAAAAAAGAAGGACATGTTGACTTTTCCCTCCCTCTAAGATTGTCACAATGCAGCACCCAAAGACTATGCAATTCTACACAGCCCTCTGATGAGGTGTTTTCTATAATCAACGTCCTTCGAATGACCTGAGAAATGTGCGGCACCCAGATCTTTCGATCTTTTGAGCCCTAACACCCACCACCATGCAAGACCATCTGATCATCACTGGCTGTACAAACCCATGTCGACCGATCTCCAGCTTTCTTTGCGCCCACCAAGCAGCAAGAACGTAAACAAGAGATCTCCCAGGAAATAGTTCAAAACCTCGATACCGTGAACCGCTCCCACCCGGTACGTCCCGACGGGCACGGGTTCCCCTGCGTCGCAAAACGGCCCCAATGCCGGGGTGTGGAATCTGACTCCCGGGCCGCTCTTCAATACACAGTGGGGAAACCAATCCCCGAAAACGCGTGACTGGGTAGGTGAATGAACACGCGGCTGGACAAACACAACAGTAGAACCTGGGGATGCTTGAAGATTCCACAGCATAATTCACATCCCCGCACATACACACTGATATGAATCTAACATCCTGGTTTGACAAGACTACCGTGATGAGTTTTCCGCACAGCGTCCAAAGTTCTCAAACAAATGGTTTGCATTCCCTAAGCGGGTGGATGTTGGGCACCAATACGTTCCAACTTTCACCCTTGGAACTGCTGGCGAACGGAGGTGCAAACACGACAAAGCGTAGTAGTTCTTCGACGTTGCGGCGCATTCTGCCCAAGTTGGCTGGAAAACACTAGGGGGCAAGCACAATACTGACCCCCAATGACATAAACAAAAACCATAGGCGGGCCCACCCTGCTGGATCGACCTTCAACTTCTCAATTCTTGTCCGGATCACCTCTTGCCACCACGTTTCTTAGTGCGGATAAAGGTGCATAAAGGACCATGCTCGTGGAGATGCAAGCAAAACCTGGGGGCCGTTCCGGGTTATATATCCGACCACTTCCTATGAAACGTAGTCGCTGGCCCGACCAATGGCAGGTGAAATCTATATACTTATAATCCCGAGTACCTATTAATAAACACTCCCCAATTAAAAAAACACAACGTCCGAACCCCTAAATTCGGTTTATATTTGCCGCGCTTTCAAGCCGCTACTAAACTACCAACATGGTCGATTTTGGTGGTAGTTTTTTTAAAATTAGGTTCCCCAAAACTCCACCATGACACGACGCGCTTACACCAGCAGGCTTTCCTTCCCCCAATGGCACGGACTCAGGCAAACGCACTTGCCACCGAGGTCATGCAACACCGCATGGCACAGCGACATCACCTTTCGAAAGCTTTAGCTGTTAGTCTACTGAAGAATCACTATTCTAATGAAGGTTTTTGTAGGGGAAAAGAAGACCCTTCGATCTGGAGGTTTTTTGCATTTTTGATACGAGTTTAATAAAGGACTTTATATAAAGTTTTACAGGGTTTCTTTTTGGTTTTGAAACTCTTTCCAGGTGACCCAAAAATGGCGCCCCCAACAGATGGGAGCGCAGCATCCTCGTTCATCTTTCTCCCACCTGCCACGTGAGGGTCTTTAGATTTTAACAACAGTGTCCTCGCCGTCCTCTGTCCTCCTGTCATAGAAACGCGCCAGAGAGAGAGAGAGAGAGAGAGAGAGAGCGCGCGAGGTCAGTCTGGGCACCCACGGACCTGCAGTTCAGTCTGGGCATGGACAGACCTGCTCTCCATGAGTGCGCCAGGTCAGGCTGGGCATGCGCAGACCTGCGCTCCATGGAGTGCGGCAGGTCACGCTGACCATGCACGGCATAGAACACAATCGAGGATGCCAGATGATCTGCCAGACAGAATGTCAGAAGTTACGCCGGATAGAATGCCAGGAGATATGCCAGCTAGCAGCTAGAACGCCCGAAGATATGCCAGAAACATGTCGCTGCAGCTATGCCAGAAGGAATGCCAGGAGGTGCCAGTTGGAATGAATAAAATAAGTAAATAAATAAATAATATATATATATGTATCTTTTTTAGAATTGTTATGTTGTTGTTGATCCTGATCTGTTTTCTTTTGATCTAGATGCCTCGAAAGCACCTGTGACACCAGGATCAGGACGACCCTTGTGGGGCGACTGCAGAAGGTTCCCCAAAGGGAAAGAGATCATGGTAGTCCCTTCCAGACTCGAACGGCTTAATTCCAACATGACGAGTTAATGAGTTATGTAAGATTACAGCAATTGGGTCAAAGAACACAAACAGAACCAGGAGTCACATGGAGTTGGGTGGTCCCTTAGTCCCATCCAGTGAGTGGATGTGACAGGGGCACCCCTATCCTCCAAGTTCGGCACCCCGTCTTGTGACTGCTGGAACAGTCTTTAAGATTCGAGCCAGAAATTCTGGGGCTGGGTTTGGATGATCCGTCCCCTCCGCCACGCGCCGATCCTGCGCCCTGGTCGCGGCACACACGCTCTTGAACAGCTCGTCATTGTGCGGATCTCGTAGGAAGTCCATGAGTCTTAGAAGCCGCTTCGTCAACGCTTGGGCGTATTCCTCAGGGGTGAAAGCTCAAAGCGAGGATCTGAGGACGGATCTGCCGGTGTGCAAGGTGATCGAATGATCCAAGGAGTCTTGGAGTCCTGTCGCAGTCCGGCACCAGTCACCAGTCAGTTAGGATTGGAAGTTAGACCATGACTATGTTCCTTACTGTCTTAGAGCATGGTGGGCACACATATCATTGCCTTCATCCCCACCTCCTACTTCAAACGAATTCCATCGAATTTGTGCCTTTCCATCCGGATCTGCCGGCCAGTTGTGAGTCTACTCTCGCAGTTTACAGGTCTGACTGGAGCCGGACTTCGTAGTGAGTCGTTCACATCCTCATCATGCCCTTCCCGGCGTCCCAGCTGATTTGTCTAGATATACATATGTGTGTGTGTCTGTGTTGCATATATATATATATAGCGTTGTTTAAATGTATTTCTCCGAGGCTGGCTCTTAGCGATTGGGTTGATCTTTGCGGTATTTTTTGTCGCAAATTTGGCAATCTTGAGTAGGGAAGCCATGGGAAGCCAGGTTGGAACACTTTAGAACTCCTACATCGTGAGCATATATACATACATATACATATGTAGAACATTGTATGATTACACAATGATATATATATATACAGACTGACTTAAAACAAACATGGTGAGTTCAGAGCCTGAGCATACCTGCAATCTACAGTGGTTTCAAAGTAGATGGCACAGTCCCCCAAAGGTGGTTTATATGGACCCCCATCTAAAAGACATGGAGAGGTTTGTGCCATCTACTCTGAAACCACTATATAATCAAGGACCCTTACGGCATTATCCAGCTCGCCAAGGGTTGCTTTCAGGGACTGTTCACTGCCATGGTTCCAATTTTGTGAACAAAGAACCTTCTGCAATTTCTGGTGGGATCAATGCACAAATTCCTCCTGTGACCTGTTCTCAGCCGGTGGTGCTCGCCCAAGCAATCTCTGGACTGCCTGGGACCGTGTCAAGTGGCCAGCAGCGGCCCCGTGTCGGAAATGAACTCCTTGATCGCCTCCCAACGGGCGAGACGCGACGCACGGATCAGTGTCTGGCTTCGAATCGGATGGCACCATGGAGCTCGGATGGGTGTTGTGAAACCTTGGGTGTAACACGTCTAAGTCTAAGTCATCAACATAATAAATGGGTCAATATATATATATATATATATACTAGGACCCTCCAAGCGGTGCCCAATGGAAGCCTATAGGTAGTGTGGGGTAGTCCATTGGACACCCCTTGGAGGGTCCAGGTATATAGCTATTCACAATTATTCACATAGGATCATATAGGCCATAGTAATGACCCGGATCATGCCAACACAAGTTCTTTTGTTTCGTACATGTCCCAGACCCTGGATGGGGCTGGAAAAATATACATTGACCTCTGAAACCACCCCCTGGCCTTTTCTCGGCCAATCTGTGAGTCTCATTCGTTGTGTCTGGGTGTGTGAAGTGGGATGCGCTTGCATCCCAGTCTCCAACAAATCGGATTGGCAAAGAACCTGGTGCGGGCCAGGACGCTCAAAACGCCCAGGCATCAGCAACGGTGCTTGAGTGTGCTACCGTGCTACCCTTCTAGGACAGGAACTGTGATGACCAGAAACTTCACGGTTGACTTTCTTCCTTCTCTCCTGCCGTCTCCTGTCACATGTAACTAAGTAGCACCATCGATCGCACCCTCGAAAGCTCGGTGGCTGAAGCAGCTCCCCTTCCAACCGACCACGTTCCCTGCGGGTCGCGCTTCCTCCGCCCGCGCCTTCATCAGCAAAGTTCTCCTGAGCCCGGGGCATCGCCCGCACTGGCCCGCCCTTTTCTTCTCCCAGATCGTCTTGTCTTGACTCTTCAGACTTTGTCTTGTCACGGGCACCAGCAAAATCAGCAAACATGGAACCCCTGAATAATTCTGATCATTCTACATCAGGACTTGTCAGTCTATTCTACATTGTAGAAGGACTACATCTACATCATTCTACATCAATTTGTGGAGCCGTAGATGTGCACTTGAAAGGTCGGCCGGTCAGGATTGACTCGCTCCATGGTCGAATCCAGGCACTCTCATCTCTCTCCCACCCCCATCGGTCAATGCGGGCTCCATGGTGGATTCCAATGTCCAAGGCTCCAAATGGGCAGTTGATTCAGCGTCTTCAGAAGGCTGGCGATGTAGTACGCCCTCCCCCCACGCGCACAAACCTGAGCGCCAGAAGTCGGAGCTCTCAGTGCTTCGCTGCAAGTGCCACGCTAGTAGTAACAAGTGCCTTACTAGTAGTAACAAGAAGCTATTAGAAACAAGTGCCACGCTAGTAGTAACATGTTCCAAGCACTAGGAGCTCCAGTCGTACCTTAGAAGGTATGACTGGACACTCCTGGCGCCCACCCCAGTCCCACCCTAAGGTACTTGTAGCATCTTGTAGCCCTGAAGAAGCCCCCCCAAAAAAAGAGTCCGGCAGGCTGTGGAAGTGCACTTTTTCACCAATTGTTGAATGTGGTGAATAGAATTGACAAAACATCCACACCTTATCTGTATAGGGGTGAGGATTGTATGGATAAATTTATAGAACAATTGTGTAATATCAAATCTGATATCATTGAAACCATTAAACCACTGGTTATTAGTGAAGAAGAAGAATTAGAATTCAGAAATGCTACAAGGTGCTCTATTTGTAATAAACGTTTTGATGAATGTGATGAAAACGTTAGAGATGCCAAAACACAAAATAAAAGAACAACAATAAGCAACTCTTCAGAAGTCTTGTCTTGGGGTGGGTATCCAAAAACCAAAAAAACAAAAAAACACAATCCTAGGAGACTCTTTGGGGAGTGAACCCAAAAAAACAAACAAAAACAACAATTGCTGGGAGGTCTTGGGCTGGGAGGGTTGTCCACAAACGCTGTCAGGATTGTGGTTTACTCCCCAAAGAGTCTCCTAGGATTGTTTTTTGTTTTTAAAGTCCTATGCATTTTTTCAGAATACAGCAGTTGAGATGTCCTTGGCAGTACTGGTGCTGTGAATTAATCTCAGTAGATCCTTGAAATTTACTAAACATGCACCTCCAGATCGGTAAAGTGCACTTCCAGGGCATGCCGTTCTGAAAGAACACATGCCCTCGGCACTCGGTCGTTCCTGCGTGGAGCTCGAGGAAGCAGCCAGTCATCTGACAGTGGTGAGGTCACCAATCCAAAGAGGCAGATCATGCAGGGCAGATGAACCAACAAAGGTTGAAGGACCCTATAGACTATCCCATAGGTACCCCAGGTGACGGGTCCTATAAGTTCACTGAACCTCTCTTGGAAAGGTTACGCGACATGGACCTGGACTCAAAACACTGAGGCCCAGTTCCACTGGCAGGTCTTAACCCTGATCCTTGCCGGCTTGCCAACTGTTTGAGAACAAGGAAGAGGCTGTTCTTGTTGTTGTTGTTGTTGTTGTTGTTGTTGTTGTTGTTGTTCTTGTTCTTGTTCTTGTTGTCGTCGGTTTTCTCCATCTTATGGGGGCGAGGACTGGGTGAGGTGAGGACCGTATACCCCTACAGTGCCGTACAGGTTCAAAGACCCAGTAACACCTGGTCCTTTTCAAAGTTCCTGACCTGTTTGTTTTTCGTTCTCAGTTCTCCAGTGATACCAGAACCTCTATCCTAATAGCTGTAACGGTGGATGATGATGGCTAGTAAGGGCCTTGTTCAAAAATAGTAAAAAAATACCGACTGTTCTTCTTGGTGTCGAGCCTTTATGAACTCATTGCCAATTGCTGTCAAGCTACACCGCACATATCCCCCGGTGCGAGCTCCTCCTCGCTCGCGCGGTCAGCCTCGGCACAGCGTCTCCACATTGTCATCCAAACCCGCTTGCTTCTGCGAACAAATGAACGGCACGAATATCACTTTGCTGACTCATCTCATACCCTAGGGACCTTCTCAGAAGGTGATTGGTCTCTTATGTAGGTTTTGAGGGTCCAGTCGTACCTTCTGAGGTTCGGTACGACTGGATCCCGGATGGGATGGTAGAAGGCTGCCATCTCTGTGAAACCAACCGGTACCGACCTTGGTCAAAGAACACCTGTCTTTCCCCCTCGAGGTGCCGAGGTGATGTCGGCGCCCTCCCCCGGTCACCGAGGTCACCGTGGCCCACTCCGTGGACCAAGGGGCGCAGCGAGTGCAGTGGTAGCGCTGCCGGCCCAAGTGCTGCTTCCGACTCAGGTGAAGACCTCAGTCACTGCAGTCTGTGTGCCGTTTATGATGCCGGCCTCCGTTGACTCTCCCAAACCAACCCTGGCAAGTTTCTGCTTACAAACAACAACATGGTTTCACTGAACATGCGGCTTTCTGCAATGGCATCGGGATACGAGCCATTCAAAAGCCCTGTAAAAGGGCCATTCAGGAGATCCACCATGATGCATGGGATGGATCTCTGTAAAGGACGCGCCTGTGGCAACCTTCCAAGACATCAACCACACGACCAATTGCTCCATGAGAGGCCCAGCGCTACAATTGATCACTGCCGAAGGTGCAGGGCATCTTTAATACTCGAAGATGTACGGATTCTATATAGCTTGGGATGGCTCCAACTGGACAAACTGCATGTGGAGATCTCTTACAAGTTTTAGCTACAAGGCTGTGACAACATTTCAGTCAAAAGGATGGGGCAAAGTCCAATTGCACCCCACAGTCAGGGCAAGAGTTTTCTTTGGTGAGATGCTGGAGGGGCTCCTTCTTCATCCGTTCTCCTACACAAAAAGAGAGTCATTATTCATTCTTGCACCTTTGCTTCCGGAAGTTTGGTGCGTTCATCTGGGACGTTGAGGTGTGTGTGTGTGTGTGTGTTTTCCCGATCTCCTGGAAACGGAGTCTTCACCGTTGAGAACATCTCCGAGAGTTCGAGGCTTTGGTCGTCCCGGAAATGCTGCAATGACACTCCCAGGATCACCTGTTTGGGACGGCAGGCACTGGCACGAGATGATACAAACACTGCAGTTCACCAGCGTGAGGCCGAAGACCGAGGCCCTGGACTCCTGGACCGACCGTGGTCACCGACCGGCCATGGCCGGACTCCACTGCACGGAGCCTCAAACCCTACGTACCTCGTTTGGGTTCGCCCCCCACCCTGTTCGGTCACATCTCGCCGAACCGCCGTGCCTGCGGCACAAACGCGGCCATTTCTGGAGCCATCCTGTGCGGGTCCGTCCGAATGGCCAGTGAAAGCGGCGATGGCAGGAACCACAAACAGAACACACCCTACTAGGGGGGTTCTTTATTCCAGCACCAGTGGATGATGATGGCTAGTTTTCTGAACTCGCCTTTTCTCAAAGAAGAGTGATAGTTGACTGACTGCCGGTGACAGTCCATATAGTCCCCGACCGACCCCGCTGTCTCACGATAGCCTCCTCCAACATGCTGGAGGGCACGGGTGAGAAGGGCACAAGGCCGGTTTCAACCGTTCGATGGCACCAACCCACTACCAGCTTCTTCAAAGCGACCTTTTGACTTAGGCTTCAGTGACCGAACCAACCAGGTTATCCAAAAGGTCACGACATGAAGAACCAGGTAGCCCATCTAGGCCGAGACTCTCCATCCTGAAACTTATATAATTATTATAGGCTGGGTCTTAGGATGTCTTAGGTCAGCTGACCCAGCTGGATGGGCACAGGTTTTGGGAAGAACCTGCCCTAGTTATCCCTAGTTCACATGTCCTTTTTCAGAGTTTACCGCACCCCAACGCGCGTCGTTCTCAAACAATATGAAACAATGCACCAGCTGCGGCCCCAAACCCAGTTGAGCGCAGCCCCTGCTTGGTGGTTTTAGCTCACACTGAGAAATGTTACTGATGTCTGTGCCTTCAATGATCCCAGGTAAAAGTTGAAAGATGTTGCAAGTAATACACTCCCCGGAACTAACATGGAAGTGGAGAATGGCCCGTTAGAAGACCATGAGATCCACTACCAACAGGTGGTTTTCCACTCCACGGAACCATGTGAATTCCAGGGAGAGTCTCCGAAACCACCATCACCACCGATTCACTGCCGACCTGCAACAGCTGCCTGTCCCTCTCACCACGCCGTCCAGTGAGGCGGACGCCTCGTTCTTGCTGCGTAAGCCATAACAACACCAGCCGTCGTCTAATCGAATGGCACCTGGAAGAATGGCACGCGGCCGAAAGGGGCTTGTCTGTTGATGTCATGATGGGTGTCCTACTAGGGATCCGTTTTCGTACCTTCTCAGGTTAGGTGATTGGAGACACTCTTAATGTCGGTTTTCAGGGTCCAGTCATACCGAACCTGAGGTTCGGTACTGGATCCCCAGGGTTGGTGGGTCCGTCAGGCGCCCGTTTTTCGATCCTCGGTCTATGTGTGCAGATGTTCACCCCGTTTTCAACTCCCCCGATGACACATCCCAGGGCCATGATATAGTTGACATTGAATCATGTTTGGGTTAGTTAACTTCGCTGGACTGAAAAGCATCCCTTTCGAAAGCTGAGAGTCTGTAGGTACTCCAGACTTACCTAGAGACTCTCAGCCTCACCGGTTGCTCCAGGTACGTCTTGGCTTGCTGTTCTTTATTTGTATTTTTTGTGGGAGGTGCCAATGTTATTTTCATAAAGGAACAACGTCCTCAACATAGGTCAGGGTCACGGCGTAACTGAATAAATCAACCATGAAGCTAAAATTAATTCTATCAGCCGTCCCTTGATATCCTTGTTGCCACCACGGTTTCCAACCAATCCCCTTCTTGCCCAGCTGCCGTTGCCCCAGAATTCCAGCCTCACAGCGACCACATGCGAGGGTGGCTTTTTGGACCGATTCAACATGATTCAACCAACAAGGTGACCGCGGCGACGCGGTATAGTATCACTGACCCAAAATGGACACCTGCAAGCTTTACAATGGGAGAATCTGTCTAAGGGAAAATCAGAATCAAGGGACCCCTCCTTCACTAGAGACCAGATCATGTCCAGAAGCCATTCTCAATGGTGCATCCCTTGAGAGAAAATGATCAATATATGGGACATCCATGTTTAAAGTTTCTTGGCCTGGACTGTTTCTTGGCCTGGACGTGACTGGAAGCCTTTTTGCCTCTATGCGTCTCACAGCTGACCATGTGTTGTGTTGAATGGTTTCTCTGTGGTCCAAAGCCAGGAGCCACAGAAATCACACCAATGCCTCCAGGTCGCACCTGCCCGCAGTGGGGACACTTCTTCGGCTTCCCTTGCCAGCTAATCCAAGTCTTGTCCTCGCAGGGCCAGACGGCTGCGTTGCGTCACTCCGAGTCACTCCCAAACGCTCCATGGGACTGGCATATGCTCCGTACATCGGGGATCGGTGGTTTCAGGGTCCAATATATGCAAACATGCAATAGTTTGGGTATCAAATGCTACTGCTATTATATAATCTATTATTACTTCCAGTATTCATGCTGGCGGATTATGGCAGATTTAAGGCATTCCGGCATCAGTTTCAAGTAGAAACATGTGGATACCAGCTTTTCGGCAAACGGCGAGCACTCAGTGTTTTTGCTTTGCGATTTGCCAGCAGTAGCTTGAAGGATGCCTCGCATAGAAACAGGATACTTCCGCCAAAAAACATGAACCAGGCGTTCCAAGGGGATGCCTATTGGAGGGTAGGTGTAAACACCCCCCCAACTCCATGCTGAAGAAAAAGAACACAGTTTAAAGCCTTTGGAGTTCTCTTCCCTCAAAACCTCGCTCGTCTCCCAGGGTCGGATAGAGTGGGGCGAAAGAAAAAGGTCATTCCAGGATGAAACTGGGAAGATTTGATCGCCTGGCATCGCCTGGGCTGTTGGAAGATGTGGCCGATGGTCCAGGGATCAGCTTCTTGGTCCATCCTCCAGTCCATGTATTCATGAATTCATGAATGAGGTCTACATTGACTCCCTAAACCACCCGGTTGATCAGATATTTTTCTGGCAGTCCCAAAGAGGTCGTGTTTGGGTTTTTATACATAACAATACATAACAGGATTCCCAAACCAGCATTGATTCAATGGATCGAATGCCGAAAAGCAATCGTTTTACGACGGCTTTCACTACAAAACTAGGTCAACCATCAGGGATTAGGTCGAGACAAAGGAGAATGGTATCCCTTCAAATCAAGCACTTGTATGGGGAAGACTGGTGTCATTCGAGGACTGGGTGGTTCATGGTTATTCGCGATGTCAAAACGAGCAGGTTCCCTGCGCGCAGAAAAGACCCTGCGTGGCGGAACCTTCCGGAACCGGCCGCCTTCTCCTCCAAAGACTTCAAAAGATCTGGAAACTTCAAGACCTGCGAGGTCCACAGGTGCGGGCCGGCCCCGTGTGTTTAAGGAGGTCCCGAGAGAAGCGGATGTGAGACCCCCAACTGAGAATCCTCGATGTGAGGGTATGAAAGCAGGGTCTAGAGTCACGTCTGGCATCTTGAGAGTTCATGAAACTGTTGGTGCTTGGTATGTTTAACCCGAAACGTCCAGAAGTCCCTTCAGTGCTCTGCAGCTCTCCGGAAAAAAAAAACAGCTTGACACGTTGTCCCAGAAAGGTGATACGCCGACCAATGGCTGGCGCCTCCAATTCGGGGCTTGACTTGCCCTGCCCATCGCCCCCGAACATCAGCACAGGATGGTCCATCTGCAAGGAATATGGGTGGGTGATTGAATGAGTTAACGTAAAAACCCTTGATCGTCCCTGAACTGCTGGACCCGGCTGAAAAATATTGATTCCATTGGTAAATTACTTACACGTCTCGTCGCCAAAATAGATACAACATGATAAAAACGTAATGTTATTTCTTTTTGACCCTTGCATTATGTTTTGGATATCGCCGTACCGCTGATCTACGGTATCATACGGTATCGATCAGGACTTCAATGCTTGGTTCTCAGCGCAAACAAGATCTGCTGATCAAGCGGGTCAAAGCTCTAGCTGCTAGCTTACACCTCACCAAAAACACACGCACACAAACGAGTCAAAAGGCTGGAGAGCCCTGAGGCATCCCTCCGAAGGATCCACATGGCAGCAAAATCCGTTTCTGGGCTCCCCTGCAGGCTTGCCATTGTGGTGAAGCCTCTTGGCGAACTCCTTGAGCTCCTTTGCCAAGAAGCAGGACCAATTATCTTTGACATGAAGCACAAGGAGCACTGACTCAGAGTGACATCACAGAACATCACGCTTCTTCAATGTTCCTGGTATTGGTTGTTCACCTGGGGGTCTCCCCTTGATTCATCAAGTCCGGCCGTGTCCGGCTCACCCAGCGGCCTACTTTCAATGAGCTGAAGGTTCTAAGTGACCTGGCAAACAACCATATTCTCCAAAATCGGTTAAAGCAATTGAAATCATGTTAAATCCCCTTCTGACGGGGATTTCACATGATTTCAATTGCTTTAGCCATAGGGAGAATCACCAATCATAAGGCAAAACCAGGGATGACCGTGGTGCAGCTCATCTGACCTGGTGACCAGGTTCGACTGGGAGGCTAAAACCAGTCAATCTTTTGTCCTGAGGCAGTGATAATGGTGGGAAGGTGGGAATCCGAACTGGTTATCTAGTTTAGATTCCCAAACACTCCATGTATGGAAGATCTACCTACATTTGACTATTTGACCCCTGGAAACCACCCCCAACGTAGGTACAGAAAAATGCTCCATGTCTGGGATGAATGACCATGCTAGTTAGGTGACGATAGCTGAAGCCGTGGGAAGCTCCGATTGGGGAGCCGGGGGACCAATGGAACTGTGGCTTGGAACCCATCAAGTTCCTGTCTTGCAAACTCCAAAACTCGCTGAAAGAATCCACGAAAGTGGAAACACCTCCTTATCTTCCTTGTTGGTTTTCGACCCAAAACGGTCCTCCAAACCGGCCGTTTTCCATGCGCACGGCCGGAATGACTCCAGGCCGCGAATTATGGCTCCTGGCCGTCCCGGTCGTCGAGGTTTGCCGTGCCGCCAAGGGACTGGGGTGTCCTCGATCCAACCGCCACGGTCTTTGACGAGGCGTTTCAGCCAGACAGCCATGCCGCCGGAGTTCTGCAGAAACGCCACCATCTCGAAGCCTACGAACTGGAAGCCACAAGAGACGAAGCTTTGGAAGGATGGATAAGGTGTGAGGGATTCGTCCTCCTTTAATTGAAGGGTGTGTGTGTGTGTGTGTGTGGCAGTGAGTAGTACTGAGCTTTGGGGACTTCAGCGGCCCGCATTCTTCTCCACATGTAGTGGTCACTCAGAGTTTTTGGAATGGCCCGAGCTTGCAAGCGGCGTGCAGGGCGGCTTCCAACCTTCACCCCTGAATTGGTTCTTTCTTTTTAACGGGCGTGAGCCCGGATGCCAGCGTCATTTGAGCGACCCGGTCCAACAGCGCGAGAAATGCCGAAAATCGCAACAGGTCACGTCACCTCGATTTCGGGTAGCTCGAGGTCTTTCAGGGCAAGTCATGACTAGATGACTAGCTCTTTTAGGGCACAGTCCACTGTAGTGAAATTGGGATCCATCTCAGATATCTCAGGTAGTTGGAGAGAAAAACCAGAGACACCTAACTATGCAAAACCCTCTACCTTTGGGCCCTCCCTGTCGCCACCAAGAAAACACCGTCGCAGCAGGGGATGAGAGACTGAGTCGGTCTCTTCATGTCAACCCGTGGCCCGGGCGCACCGTCTTGGTTCAATGGCACCACTTTGGGATGCGCCAAGAGCCTCAGAGCTCCGCAGTGTCCAGCACCGGGCATCGTGTCCCAATGAGGGACGCCGCAGCCAGGCTGAGCAACAGTACACTAAGGTCTGTTGAACCCTTTTAGCTATCCATCTAGGCAAAAGACCGTGAGGTGCACCTTCTCTGAATTAAAACCTTAGTTCAATCTGTTTCATGTGTTTTGTCCTGAGTCAGGCTGTGTGCGCCCCAGCCGAGAAGATGTCGCCACCCTGGTCCGGATGGGTGCCATTTACTTCACCACATGTCATACACTTGTCATGCACAGATTCTGGCAATGGTTGCGCACTTCTAAACTGCACAGTAGGTTCTAAGTGTGGATGAATCATGAGTCAACGTAGCAATTCTGCTTTGGGAGGACCACTGCCTCTCGCACGAGCCACAGCCCTGAACCCCCCGCCTGTCTCGACCACAGGCCCCCCCCCCCGCGCCGCACCAAACTGCAGAGAGCCACCAGTTGGAACAAATCCGGTCTCGCAATAACACGAATAGCACCTCGGCCCCGAGTTACGAGGCGGTTCCGGGTTCGCGTGACCCGCAAACCCCGGCTGGATCGGTTTGCTGATCCACTGAAGTCAGACCCAACTGGGAACATCAGCATCATTTACACTCTGACGAACACATCCCATGGAAGTGGATGGCACCCCCTGTTGGTAGAGGAAGACGTAGTCTTCCAAGTGACCATGCCATCCACTTCAATGTGATGTGTTCGTCAGAGGGTAAACCTTACCCAATCAAACCCGTCAAAACATCCCAGCACCTCCCTGTCGGGGTCACCCGGCTCTGGAAAGCGCCGAATAGGGGCCACTACTAAGGGGCCTCCAGCCAGGACACCCCTTGAAGGTCCAGGTCATCTATCAGAATCCATTTCTTTTCAGTACCGTCTTCCGCAGCGACAGGGAACCGGCCCTAATAGGATGGACGTGGCCCTGCTCGAAACTTCTCCCACAAAACGTGGCAACCACCAAACCCAAATGGATACCGTGTTGTCTTTTGTATGTACATATACAACCGGGGCCCGAGAGTCTGAAGCCTCAAAAGGCCTGCGAACGCG